AATTTAGAACCACAGTAAACTAGGAGGTATTAATAAGCGTTTTAGCTTAGAATAACAACAAAAAGATTAAATTAATTATTTCTATTAGAAAAAGTGTCTAAATCAAAATTTGAGTCTACACTGTAAAAAATTTAGAGAGTTGATGATCACTGGAGTTGGGAGTGAAATTTTTCGAGTTAAAAATCAACTCCAAAAGGGAGTTAATTTATTAGATTAACTTCGTTTTGGAGTTGATTCTTATTTTTTCTGTGTAAATTTTAACTCCCTTCGCTTTAACATCCAAATGGGTGCGACTTTTATAGAATCCCCTGGGGAGTGAAAATTTAACTCCCTTTTTTACAGTGTAATTGGAAAGTTGGTTTGCTGCGCACAGTGACTCGTAAATGTCATTTAAAATTCCGTCTCAATAATATTATAGATAGAAAAAACTAAAAAAGTAGAAAAAGCCATATCGGAAAAAAAGAAAAAGCAGTGGCTCATAAATATTTATAAAGCGCTTTTATGAATGTAATGCCTCCGAAGTAGCTGTCTTTAAGAAAAGTCAAGGTAGCTCTCGAAGAAAGGAAGAACGTGCGAATAAAATGGAATAAAGCGCATTCGCACGTGCAGTTGTCTCTAAGCTCCGAAAGCAGAACGAAAAGAAGAGGAAAAGAAGAGAAGAGGAAAGAAGAGGAACAGAAGCGAATGCAGTAGACTGGGCACAGCATGTTTATTGGCGCATCTCGGAGTCTTAAATCTTTATGTTGTCTCCGCGGCAGGGTCCAACGAGCGAGAGAGGAAGGACGGAAGGAAAGGAGAGCACAAGGGGGCGAGAGAGACGGATAATGGGAGAGATATATCTCTTGTGGTGCGGTCGAAAAATCGAGTCGGATCGGCGCGTCCTCTGCGTTACGCACACAGGAGCCACCGCGACTCGCTTTTACGTGCTTCTAGAAAGGGTTTACAAGTTGCGAAAGCAGCCTCTCTACGACGTGTTTATTCTCCCACAAGAATATTAATGATCCCCGGCAACATAACCCGTAAAGGCTTGCGGCGACGCAGACCGCAAACTACAGAGGAGAACTCAACAGTTTCGAGGACGCGAAAGTCCTCCTTATCTTTGATTACCGTCAACGACACGTAACCTTGCATTTAAAAGGAATGATGCATGCACAGATGGTCGCAGGCGAATGGCGATCTTTTCAATGATCGGTTGCGATACCCGCTTTACCAATTGTGGCTCTGAAGAAAACACATGCACTTTTCGGTCCACTCCACGCTACTTCCATTTCGCCATGATTAAGTTCCTCATTCTATCGGGGAATAAGAATTATCTTCCTTTTTATTTACAGTTTTTCCCAGGAAATCGAATTGCCATACGTTTTTCTTTTGATATCCATAAAATCCAAAAAGTTGATGTTTCTGATTTGTGATCTGCATGTAACGAAAAGTTTGACTACATCAAAGGCACGGACCGTGAGAAAGCCCCAGTCAGCGATTGGATGGTCACAAAGAAGAAGGAGACATTTTACCCCTTCTCTTTGCAATGGTTCAATCGCTCTCTGGGTCTTTCTCAGGGTCCGTGCGTCTGATATACTAAAACAGTTTAATTTTTGCGACGCGTCAACATTATAAGAAGGTTCTCTCGCAAAGAGAAATAACACAGTTTTTTACGAAAATTAATATACTGATAGATGTGGTTTAAAGAAAATGTTGTTAAATTTTTAGAGGTTTAGGTTGGTTGTGACAAAAGATATAAATAACTTTCACATTTAACACTGTGTGTTATGGAGAATTGCATTTTCTTGGTCTTCAATGTCAAATTGTGAGAAATTTGACAAACAGATATTACTAAAACTGTTTATACTTAAAGTTAATTAACTAATACTCACTTATTTATAACGAAATTACTCAGACCTTACCTAGAAGACTCAAAATTAATTATTTTGTTTAAAAAAACACCATATTTCAGGTCCAAGAGATTTAAAAAATCTTTGTATATAAATCACTCGAGTATTTAATAAGAGGAAACGAGCATTTACAGAAATTTAACAGAAGACAATTTCAAATTAGATAAACCTTTGTATTGACTAATTAACAAATAATCGAAAATAAAACGCTGTAACAAAGCTGTAAGTGCGCATTGGAAATCTAGTATGAAAATGCCAATTAAAACTGAAATTGTTAATACAACATACTTCCTGCTTGAACTCCACCACAATTAGTAAACGAACAGAATAAAAAATTACCCAAAAAGAACATGAATCAAAGACATAAATTTTTATAAACAATGTAATTTTGTAAAAAAAATTTTTTTTAAACAAAAAAAAATTCCAAAAAATTCTAACAAAAATAGTAATTTTTGTTAGAATTTTTTTAAATTTTCCATTTGCAGATTTTGTGAATTTATTTTAGATCTTCAAAAAATTAAAATGTTAAACACAAAAAAGGACATTTGGTAAGGTGACTTCTGTTCCGGTGTATTATTGCTGCGGTAATATCTTTTATTATTGCTATAAACTATGTACCAATCCTGTAGGTCCGTCTTGATTATACCAAGCAGGATTCGACTACGTGGGTAGACGCACCGATTTCTCAGAGAAGGGTAGGGGATAACATTTTTTTTTCAAAGGAAATACTTTATTCCAAGTTGCATAACATGTTATATGAGAACTTATAAAGATCGTTTGTGTTTGAAGAAATTCAGAAATAAGTTTTATGATTTTCAATAAACTGTGAGTGAAGTGGTATTTCAGACAAGAATCATTTTAATATTCAAAAAAATAAAATTAAGTATTCACCGGAAAACAATGTCTGAAAATGATATCTTAAAATAAAAAAATTTTAAAGTAGATAATTTTTAAACTGAAAATTAAATTAGGTTAAAAAAATTTAAGACTTAAATTTTAAAATTAAATTAATTAAATTTTTAAATTTAAGACTTAAAGTCATATAAATGACAACAGATTTTTAAATAATAGAAAGAACAATAACACATAAAGACCGGTAATCTAATTTTAAGAAGCTCCTACTTAAATAGGAGCTTCTTAAAATTAGATTACCGGTTTTTCTGTGAAGAGAAGCAATACTATTTAAAAAATAAGACGTGGATATCAGGAATGGGAAAATATTTGATTGGAAAATTCTCCTTTCAGTTTCTTCGATTACAGCCTCACAGCTCCCACAAAATACGAATGTACGGAAGAGATAGAGTGTTTTTCAAACAATATGAGTAAGACCGTGTGGGCGTAAACGCACGCTGGACGCGGCTGCTGGCCCAACAGTGAGTAAGGGAACAGCAACGATAGCACGTTATCAAGAGAGCGTTGGAGGCAACGAATTTTATTGCACCAAAGTGTCATTATTCCGATTGGTTAATTAAACACCGACTCTATCGAATATAGTTTCCAAGGAATTTGAATCCAGTTTTTTTGAGAAAATCATTGTTTTACAATTTGAAAAATCCAATACGTCGCTATTCGATTGAAATATCGCGTCGTCTCTTGGAATTTCATTGCGGGATACGTGGCATGCATAATGTATATATGCGTATACATATATACTCTCTCTCTCTCGAAGATTAATTATTGCAAGATCCGTTCGAATTTCGAAGACGCTGAGAAATTTTCGCAATTCAGTACGTTCAACCTTGCACCATTTTAAGGCTCCAACAATGGAAACTACGGACACGGCATTTCACTTTTTCGCAATTTGTGCAACAAAAGCCTAAAAGTATAAAAGTGGATTTCCTAAGGCTAGAGAAGTTTGCTCACACGATGCGATGCCGCCTGTGCGAACCCCGTCTGCCTGCGTTTTCTTATGCTGCCCGCACTAACGGTGACTTTAACGCCGCGCAAAACTTTTTCTCTCTAAATGCTGGTTCCAAATTTACGAAACGCTTGCGTACACGAGATTCGCTCACGTATAAGCGTATAAGCTGGTTTAAACGCTAGCTTTAAGCATCTACGCGATACGCGCGTGTTTTACATATATGTGGAACCAGCATAACTACCATTTTGGTAAATAGTACCTACGAGAGTTAAAAGAGTCCTTCCTTACGATTTACCGTCAGATTGAAAGTTTATGTGCCAGAGAGGTTTGGTCAAAAGAAAAATACTTTTGTCGCGGGTTCCCTATGGCTTTCCTGAAACCAGCCGCGCATTGCATTCCTCTTCGATCTTTGGATCCCTGTCCGATCTGCCTGGGTTATTCACGCCACGGTCCGGGAGCCCGCATAAAACTGCTCCCTGAGTTTTGTGGAAGGTCAAGGGATCGCGATACCTGCGATAATCATCTCGCAGAATTGATCTTCGATGATATTTCACTTATTTAAATTCGACACGTGGATAGAAAACGGTTTCTCTCTTCTCTAGCGCATAAGCGGCGTTCTCTTTGCTTTATAAATTTATTTATGTGTACCTCTCATATTAAATACCGCTATCTAAATTCAAGTTTCTTTTCTTTTTATTATATTCAACCGGGAATAAGTCAATAATATCTGCCAGTTCAACTGCTCTGATCTTTGCGCGTTTAAGAATCACAAACATAGCGCAGGGAGTCGTGATGATACTAAAGGCAATTTATTCCTGCTACTAAATAAACAATAATACTTTACCATGTTCTTTATTTGTTTTCGCAGAGATTCTTACAGATTAGCGAATAATTGGGTTCCAAAACTTATCTAAAGATGAGGCGCTGTAAGATCTTATAAACTGTCTGAACACAAAATCGTTTATATTTTGAAACTTTGAGATAAGTTTGAACGTATAATTTTTATTACGCTTCTAAAAAAGTCAACAGGAATATTACAGATTAATTAAATAGAGCAGCTAAAATACATGCACATTTATCTCCGACAATTTCGAAATAAAAAACATGAAAATGAAATAAACAGTATTTATCTTTCTTTTAAAACTAAAATTGTCTATAAATTTTCAATGTTTAAATATTGCATTTTTTTAAAATGTACTTCGTGAATCATTATTTTAAAATATATTAAGTGCACTTCGTCCAATACAATTATGACAAATTTCACTTTTTTCAAATGCGTTATACTGACATTTGGATTAATAAAAAAAGAATATTATATATAAAAAAATTCCTTCACTTTCAGGTTCGGTAAAAATGGTTTCCAAGTGGACTTTACAAGTTCTTGGTATCATTCTCTTTGCTTTTGTAGGAATGATGAATTATTATAAAGAATATAGAGGTGATGAAATAGTTGCAGTTACTAATCACAGTGATATGAATGTTATCCCTACTTTTACTTCTGATCGGATCCAAGACATAAAAGAACGTCAAAAAATGGTAAATTACAGATTAACGACTCTTTAAAAAATTCTTAAAATATGTTTTAGAATAATTACAGTAAAATCCGCGTATATCAAACCTTCTTATGAATATTTTTTGCGGTCCCAAAAATAAAAAATACAGATAAATTTTTTCACTTATATCGGACTTTTTTTTATTCCTTCAATATTAATTAACTACCTGAGAAAGTTCTCTACTAAGAGAATATCAGAACACCATAATTATTAGTGAGAAACTTTTTTTAAACATTAAATCTATTATTTTGTTACGACCATCTTCTTAACTATATTTTTTTCTGTTAATGCATCCGCTCTTGTAATAAATAAACCGAAATAAAAAAAAATTTATTATCAGGTGGAAAACATAAATAAAACAGTGGACCAGTTAATCAACAAAATTCTTAATGATGAAAACAATTTTACTCATTCTGTTATTGAAATTGTATACTTGGTAAAAGATTCTTTCAATCAGAATTTTTCAAATGTACTGCAAGCAATTTTCGACGAAGCGAACGTAATTTTAAATTTAAAAATTATATTTCATAATTATCACTAAACCAACAAAAATAAATTTTCATGTATTTTGTACAGTTTACCTATGGGAAAGCAAACATTAATCAGAAAGTTTGTATTAATTCTACAAAAGACGATTTGAAAGCGAAATTTTTAAACTTGATTTTCGATCTCGATACTTGTTTACAAGAAACAAAAGAAATTGGAGATAAAATTCGTGTAAAATTACAACTTGCTCATCAGGTAATATTGAATATTTTATCCATATATAATTATGTTTTAATTAACTTCTTAATATGTAAAACTTCTTCTTAAAACGCAAATATGAAAATTATTATTCTGTCTAAATAATATTAGTACAAACTTGTCTACAGAAAACTTTAAAGGTACAAGAGGATTTGAAGGAAATTAATACCAGTTGTTCTAGTAAAATTGCAAAATTAGATGAATGCATTTCTCAAAAAATAAATTATGCACAAAAAGATTTGAATAATTTACTGGAGGCAGTACAAATGGATAGTATTGCAGGCGAAATCATAAAATCGAAAATTTCAAGTGAATCATTAAAATGCAGTACAAAAATATCGAGTGAAATGTTCCAAATTGCCAACGAATTTCAGGGATTTTTCAAAAACTGTATTGCGTAAATGATTTATTTTCTATAAAAGAAATCAGAGATTTGTCCGGAAAAATTAATTTTAAATTAGAAATTTTATTTAACTTAAAATAAATAAATTAATTTAAAATATTTTTGAATGTCTTTGCTTATTTCTCTATACATTCTACACATTCTATGTTACTATATTTCACGAAAAAAATCAAATAAATCTTGAAATTATTTTCAACCCTGAGAAGAACATTTGAAATGTGAAAATTGTCAAAAGCAATTTTTTCGAGTACAATCACTGTTAGGATGAGTCCCGCTATGAATTTCGGAAAAGCATGTGTGAGAAAATGATTTTCGAATTCAAGTGTTGAAACGATGATGATAATTTCCATTTCCAGGAGAAATGAAGAAATAGTTATTCGTTGTTAGTGCGTAAATGCGGATAATGAACCTTTTCCTTTTGCGGAGCTTACGCTCGATTCGGCTGACCTGCCCATCCTCGTGGCTTGACACTTTGCGGTGAAAATGCGCTCTCTCGTTACAGGAGAGTAAGCGAGCGGATGTCTGGTGTGTAAGGAACCGCTAAAATGCTGTTCGCTCTTATCCGTTGATCTGGAGCGGCGATGCGAAGAGAGGCACGCTGTGGGCCTCTCTTCGACGACGAAGGGGACTCTTTGGCTGGTTGGTTGGTTACTCTTCTTTATTCCCCGTGGTTGGTTGGTTGCTTGGTTGCTTTGCTGCCTTCTATGCTGTAATGCCGTTACCAGAAAGAGGCCACCTAGCTTCGCAACGCGGTGTTAACTCGGAGAACTTTCTTCATAATGAGACGCCAGATACTAAATGACAAACGTAATTAAAGCAGACCGGGAGGTCATGGATTCAGATAGTCACCGGGAATGCACACCGCATCAAGCAATTCACCATCTGAATTATTCGAATATTGTCTCTAAATTCTTGCCCGTGGTTAACAACAGTATTTTATTTGTTACCTACATTATATCAAAAATCCCTACGGGCAAAAATCATCTTCGTTATTCCAAAAATAATGTTGTAGACGTTGTAGACAATTTTCTCAAATTTCCATTGAGATATTAATTTATTTTCATTTATTTGTGTAAAACATTGAATTATTAATCATGTTAACTTTTAGTAAATAGTGTGTAATTCTTTTCTCACTGAAGAAAGATAAGAGTTATGGTTACTTACCTTCACTCTCATAATTATTTTTTCCATTAATATATTATGTTTCTTTAATTCATTTAGAAAATTAATTACTTCATTAATATTTTATTTTTTTAATTCATTTCGAATAAAATTTACGTGTTTAGAAAATTAATTCTAATTTCAATTTACAGTTATTTGTCTTAGTTTTTGTGTTTTCAAATATTCAAAATTCTCATTTTGATATTTCTGGCGGCACTGAAGATATTGGGTCCTTTTCGAGAACTTGGCTCAACTTTTAAAATTTTCGATATGTCATTAGATTTGCAATTTTTGAAAAATCCATCATCGGAACCAAAAATTGATATAAACAAATTTGGATTGAAAGAAAAACATTTTCAAGTAAACAATGAGGTAGGAGGATTAGGTCTTACATGGAATTATGGTTTGAGGAAGAAATTTAAAAAAAGCTTTGTGGCAAGATGTAAGATAAAGGCAATAGAGATCATTGCCAGTAATAAGTTTTGGGTCCTTTGCTTGTTTTGACTCGGAATCGAAAATCGGGTGAAATCGTGAATTGCAAGAAATTCCCGAGCTCGTCGATAAAATCTATCAGTCGATAAGGGCCTTAGGTACGTGGCAGGTACAAGTATACAAGCACTTAACGTTCGCGTTCTAGAGTCTCGCGCAAGGGCCTTATGCACTCTCTGTGCATACGTAAGCACGCAGATGCCGCGTGTCGATGTGGGTAGGGTTATTAGCCCAGAAAGCAAGGCCCCCACTTCCGGTGTAGGCACTTTAGTTGGAGAGTTTCTTAACCCCTTCTTACATGACTCTCTGCTTGGCCTGGCCTGGCCTAGCCTGCTGCCTCTCTCGTGTTGCGAGAACTATTCTAAGGAAATGCCACCAGCATTGCCTACATCCACCGCACCGAGAATAAATTCGGAATCCTTTAAAGGGCAATTTTCAAACTAGAATTCTATTCCCCGAAAGAGTATCTCCAAACAATCCGCAACAAGATTCTTGTTCATCATTTTTTATCATGTTTCTACTACATCTACGAAAATAAAATGCCATCAGCAGGGCTTCAAGTCCGTAAAAGTCTGTTTTTTGAAAAAGGTCCGTAAAGTCCGTGATCTGATTAAGAAAACACGAAAAGTTCGTAAATTGTACGATACAATTTGGAGAAATTACAAATGATTGCAGAAATTCAATTATTCTCAAAAGTAATAAAATTCTTCGCCAAAATTCCAATATGTTCAAAAATTTTTTTAAATTCTGGTTCAAATTTCAATTATTATCTTTAGAAATAATTAAATTCTTCTCTAAAAATTTAATTATTTTCATAAATTTTAATAAAATTCTGGGCAAAAATTCAATTATTTTAAAAAATTCTTGACAAAACAGAGATTGAATTATTTTCATAAATAATAAAACTCATCGCAGAATTTCAATTATTTTTAAAAATTTTAATCCAATTTCTCAAAAAATGTAATTATTTTTAAAAATTTTACTAAAATTCGTGAGGAGAATTTAATTATTGAAAAATTTATTCATAAAATTCTTTATGAGAATTCCATTTTTAGAAACATTCAATAAATTTTCTTTTGTATTTAAAAAATTGATTTCCAGTAGAATTTTCTGATAAAAACTGATTTAAAAATTAATTTCATTTAAAATTTTAGAATATGTTTGAATTTTTGGAGCGTGAATTTTTGGAAATAATTAAATTTTGAAAAGGTTTCAAATTAAAATCTTTGAAAATCTGAATTTTTCATATTTGTAACTAACAAAATTCTGTGGAATTAAGTTTTTTAAGAAAGTTTAATTGAGAATTTTGTTTTGAAATTATTTGAAGTTTTTATTTTCTAATATATATTTAATTGGAGAATTTACAAATAATTGAAATTTTGTAAAATAGAATTGTAAGCAAATGAACTTGAACATTCTCGAAGAACTTTTTCCAAAATTATTAAAAATAATGCATTAATGGAAGAATTTTAGTTAAAAACACAAAAATAAAATTTAATTTTGGAAAAGTTACAAATTATTACAGAAATTCAATTCTTTTCAAAAGTAATAAAATTCTATTATTTTCAAAATTTTTTCTTAATTCAATAATTTGTAATTTTGTACATCTATTATTTTAATAAAATTTCCAAAAAGAATTCAATTATTTAAAAACAATTTTGTCAAAGTTCTTCACGGAACATTCAATTATTTATAATGAATTATCTATGTTTGTATTTAAATAATTGAATTCTTGTAGAATTTTTCTAATAAAAATTAGTTTAAAAATTATTTTCAGTTAAATTTTTAAATAATAATTGAATTTTGAAGAAGTTACTAATAAGTCTAATAATTTTTACAGTGAATCATAATATTCTTTAGAGTAAAAATTTTGTCTGGAAATCAGGAATAAAAATGAAATTTTTGTGTCAATCCTGAACTAGTTTTCCCGTTGGACATAGTTTGCTAGATTTTCGGACATGGTCAAAATTATGTATATTTTGAGGATTTAAAATATTTTTCTCGTTAGATGCTTTGCTAAATTTTGGAAATGGTCAAAATATAAAAATTTTAAGTTTTTAAACTATTTTTGCGTCTTTGCTCCATGGACTTGGCTAAAAATGAAGAATATTCTTGTTTTTTCCACGATTTTCAAGATTTTAGCAATAAATGCATTTCGATTCCTTGAAAATTCGCAGCGGAAAATGAAACTAATTTCGGTCTTTCTTGGAACTTCCGCTTCATATATATATATATATGTGAGTTCCGTAATGGACACGCAGCATGTCTTTCTTTGAGATAAATATATATTATGATGTAAATCAGCCTCGTCGACTTGGTTCCCATCCTATTTTCGTGTTTAATGGCGACGCTAATTCGTCTATCTCGGGGCTCAATCGCGGCGTAATCATAATTACACGACGAGATGGCGAAGTGGAAAATCTGCATTACTAATGAGCTTCTTTCATTATTAATCACGCGAGATGGACTCATTACGATACACTTTCCGCTATTTCTGAAAAACACACATCCTCGTAATTAATCAATCTTAAGTGATGGAAATTATTTTACAACTAGTTTTGCGTCTCTCTCTCTATATCCACAGCAGGATCTGTATTAATGACGATTTAATTGAATTCCATCAAAAGGAGAAGAGAGAAAAAATATTTTATTCAAATCGAGAGCAAAAATATTGAGGATGAAGTTTTCCCCTTTGGCACGCCTGCGTTGTCGGTCACACATCGTGCTTCGTTCTCGGGTCACAGGTGAGAGATTTAAGAGCTCTTCAGGTTGCTGGTCTCACCTGGGAATACTTGCGGGAAATGAAATTCAATTCCACCACCAATAGTCACGAAATTAATCAAAAAGATTTTTTTTCTTTTGAATTCGCTTTTGAATTTCTAGATCATTTCTACTATTTTTTTCATGTGTTTTGAAAAAAATGGTCAGAAATGGTGAGAAATTGAATATAATTCCTGAATGTCACGAATGTGATTGAAGAAGAAATTATGACGAAAAGTATTGCGGCGTCGGAAGTGACTATGCCCGGGAAGCGTACGGTTTTCAAAAGGTTAATTGGGCATAGTAACTCTCCAGGTGACCAAGCTCCATGGGAGTGGAACGTAGAAAACTAGGTTCATCAGCCGAAATGCGTATAGAGTCTATTTATTTTTCCATTTGGATTGTCTGAAAAATAAAAAACCTAAAATTTAGTTATTTCATTCGCTTTGTACTAGAATTTTGCCCAACTTAAAAATTCATGACAATAATTTAAAAGGAGTGTCTGGAGAAGAAAATCGATGAGAAAGATTGCTATAAAGTGTTTTTTCCACCGATAACCCATCACTAGTTTCGAGTGTGAAAACTACTATAGTATATTTCTTGTGCCTCCATGTTACATCGCCAACAACCTCCCTCAGTAACGGCG